GTGCAAATACTTCAGCAAGGCTCTCCTAGGTGACTTCAGTAGCATTTAACGTACCCAGAAATTTGACATCAATGTACTGTCCACATGCACATTTTCACCAGAGTATCCTCTGTAGCTCCTCCCCAGCCCCACCCAGGATCCAGCAAGGGCTGCATGTTGCCTTTGGTTGTCATGTCTCTTTAGTCTCCCTTTGATCAGGAATAATCCCTTTAAGCGCGCGTGTGTGCGTGTGTGCGTGTGTGTGTGTGTGTGTGTGTGTGTGTGTATCCATGATATGGACTTTTTTGAGACGTCCAAGCCAGTGTCTTCTAAAAAGTCCCATCATCTGGAATTGCCCAGTTGTTTCCTCGTGACGAGATTTGCGTGGCCAGATGCTTGGCCAGATGTGACTTCCTGTCACATCACCCAAGGAGGCGGGACAACAGGCTGGCCCCCTTCTTGATCGCTGGGTCCAGGTGGGATCGCTGGGTCCAGGTGGGTTCGCCAGGTCTCCCCATCATAAAGGTACCAGATTCCCTTTGTAATGTAAGGTTTCCTGCAGGTGATCCTTGGAGAATTTGTGGATATATTGTTCCTTAGCAACACCCTCCCCTTTAATTACCACTACCACTACCGCTACCGCTACCAATTCCTAGGGTCATTTTAAAGCCCCCACTCCTGGGCCCCCAATACCTCTAGGGGTTAGAGGAGGCATCCAGAGGTGAGAAATAGGAAGCCAAGGCCTGAGTTGGGGGGCCAGGTGGGCAGTGTATCTCCTGGCCCTGGGGGGGAGGAAAGGAGAGGCCCCCACTTTGATGGAGATGCGCCCCTGCCCTTGTTGAGGTGACAGCCTCCCCTGCAATTTCTGAGCTCCTTTCTGGGCAAGTGAGCACCCCAGCTGCGTGGCTTGTCAGCCCGAGCCCAGTGGGCAGCGAGGGCTGGGCCTCACTGCCGCCTACACCCACGGGATGCTGCCCTCCGCTTCCTCAGCCCTCCTCAGGCACATGATGCCAGCGTGCTACTGCTCCTGCCCTGCGTGCCCTGGCTTAGGGAGGGGTCCAGGGGAGCCCAGAGACAGCGGAGGAGCGAGGGGCTGGGGCTGCTGTGCTGTGGTTCAATGTACCTTTGCCCTGCCCCCACCCGCCTTACCACTGGGTTGGCGGGTTGCGCAGGCCTCGTGCAAAGCCCGTTGGGCCTGGAGACAGACTTGTGAGGCCTCTGGAGAAATGAGCCTGGATTTCATCACTGACTTCTCTTTTAATTCGGTTCTGACAGCAGCAGGGCCGGCTGGCTGCAGATTCGGGGGCAGCTTTCCGTGGTCCCAGGCCTCTCGGTTTCAGCGCGGGCTGGCTTTCTCGGAGGCAGGGAACGCTCCCTTTTCTGCAGGAGCCGGGCAGGAGCCTCGCTGCACACGTGTGAGCACGCACCCGCCTTCCTGATGGTGCATACGTTTTTGTGCACAAGTGTGTGCGAGCTGCCTTGTGCACAAGTGTGTGCGCGCTGCCTTTGGAAAAGCCTGGACGGAGCACCTGCTCCCCATCCGCCTGTCCACCTCCTCACCGAGGGCGGCGGCCTGGGAAGTCAGGTTGGGCCTCAGGGTCTCATCGGCGAGGTCTCGCCGGGCCTCTCCCAGCAAGGCCCCGGGGAGGGCCCTGTCTGAGCAGGCGCTCGGCCTGCGTGCGGGCTTTCAGGAAAGTTGTCGCCGGCACAGGCTCTTCTGGAGGGTAACACCCCCTCCACCAGGGTTTCCCGGAAGGAGGCACCTCTCAAGAAGAGAGAGCTGTGCAGGCGGGCGGAAAAGGGGAAGGGATTAAGCAACACAAAACAACCCCAAACCTCACACACAGACAACAGTGTGGTGGTGGCCAGAGGGAGGGGGTGGGAGGAGGTAGAAGCGGGTAAAGGGCTAAGTGGTGATGGGAGGAGGCTTGGCTTGGGGTGGTGAGCACAGTGCAGTGTACAGATGATGTTTTATAGAATTGTACACCCGAAACCTGTGTAATTTTATGAACCAATGTCACCCCACTAGATTCAATAAAAAGGTTAAAAAAAAGAGGAAAACAAAAGAGAACTGGAAGCTAGGGTTGCCAGGACTATGGGCAGCAGGCTTGGGGTGAAAGGACAGAGAAATGGAAATTCACCCCCCTGCCCTGGCATTGCATGGTCTGGACTTGGCTTGGTGGAGGCTGTGAGGGGTTCAGCCTCCCTAAATTCCAGAGGCTCCCTGGCTGAGTCTCCCGCACTTGGGCCTTCACTGGGGTGGGGTGCTGAGGAAAGAGGGACAGAGAACCCCCACCCCCCGGGAGCCCCTAGTCTGAGCCGCCGGTCTGAGGGAGGAAATAGCTCCCTGTCCTCTCCTCGCTCCTGGGGAGCCCCCACTTTGATGGAGATGCGCCCCTGCCCTTGGTGAACTTCCTGTCTGAGAGGGAGCTATCGCTGCTGCTCTCAGGGTCCCCCAGTAAGGGGTGAGCCTCAGAACCCTGCCTCCTGAGAGCACCCCATTTCCCCCAGCTGGGACGCAGAGCTCAGCCATCAGGGGCTGGCTTAGAAAAAGCAATTTTGTTGGCCATCTCAAAGTCTTGCCCTTCTGGGTCCTGCATTTGGATCAGGAATGAGATCAGGAATGAGCTTCGAGTTGATTGCCTTGGAGGATCCCTTAACCCCCACCGGCTTCTTTGTCTCCATGGGAAACCTCTTGGTGATTTGAGACAGTATGGAGTTGGGTTGAGGCTCTGGCCAGAGTGACTCTGCAGCAAAACAAGCCAAGTCGTGTTACTGCCGCCTCCTATTCACCAAGTTCGCACGAGGCCTGGAATTCCAGGCTCCTGCCACACACAGCTGATGAGCTGAGCCCCTTTCCAAGGTAAACCCGATCATGTCACTTACCAGCTCAGCTCCCTCCAGCACTTACAATCAAACTCTTCACTGGATTTTAAGGTGGCCCTGCCCACCTCTCCCACCCTTCCCACCTCTGTCTTAGCACTGTGCTCCCCACACTGACCACCTTTCTGTTTCTCAAACATGGCAAGTTCATTCCTGCCCCAGGGCCTTTGCACCTCCTGTTCCCTCTGCCTGGAATGCTCTCCCCACCTTCACCCCATTATCCCAGGGCTGATTCCTTCACGTTTTTAATGTCTCTGATTAAATGCCTCCTAGAGAGACCTCCTCTGGCCACCCCAACCTTAATGGCTCCCAACATTTTTTCCTGTGCAGCGGTTTTAATTATTTGGAGTCATCTTTATCTGTTTATTTGTTTCACTGGTCTCTGCACTGGGAACACACACTTCGTGAGAGCCCCTGGGTGATCTCATTCATCATTACCTTCCCAGCACCTAGACCCATGCCAAGCACATATTAGGAGCTCAAAAACATCTGTTGAATGAATGAGACCATATCAGGAACTGGGCCTGCACCGAGCTCCCCCTCACCCAGGTCCCTGTAACCTCATGACAACTTCCACTTACAGATGGGAAACTGAGGCCCAGGCCTGTGCAGTTACTGAGGAAATGAGCTCTAATAGCAGGTCTGGTAGCAAATCCATGTTCTGTCCAACATCTTCCTGCAGTTTCGGGTTTCTGTGCTCTTTACAGAGGAAAGGGAAGGAGGAAACTCACGAGGCCCTGCCCATGGGGCGTTCAGGTTTCTCCTCGCCTGCACGTCTTCCTCCCTCTTTTTTTTTTTTTTTTTTTTTTTTGCACTTGCTGCTCTACCATTCACATTTTTCTATGTTCTTTACACAGCCTGTGTAAACGATTTTGAGTGGGTGTGGACAGTCCACCGAGTGGATGCACCGGAGTTACCTGACTGTCCCCAATGGCTGGGTGGGCACTTAGGCTGTTTCCAGTCTCTGTGCTGCAGTTGTCTGCATTGGAGCAACATCTGGATGTTGTAGATGAAGCTCAAGGGTCTGTCCGTTCACTCTGTGACCAAATGTGACTGTGTGCTGGCCCCTGTGCCGAGCAGGGGGCACTGATGGGCCTGAGGCTCAGTGTCTGCCCTTGGAGATCATAGTCCGGGGTGGGAGGCGCTGAGCAGACACAGGGTGGCGTAGGTGTCACGGGGCTGGAGAGTGGAGAACCCCGTGCAGAAGGTGGTCCGGTGCAAGGGCGGTCGGGGGTGCCTCATGGAAGAGGGGCATCACCCCGAAGGGGAGTCTTCAGGTGCTGAAAGGAGGGCGCTGGGTGATGCACACAGCACATAGGTCACCATGAGGGCGGAGGCATGGCCGTGTGGCTCCTTCTGAGTGTCCTTCCCGCCCAGGCTCGGGTCGGCCTGGAGTGGAGGGAGCCTGTCGGCAGAGCTGAGGCAGAGGTGGGCGGAGTGCCGAGTTAAAGAACTTTGTCCTGCGGTGGATGGAACTCTGACTGTCTTCTCTCTTTAAAAAAGAGGTTTTCTTTAAAAGACCAAAATTATACATACACCTATTAAAAAAATCAAATAGCATAGAATGGCTCATCCCCAGGCCCCTTCCGGGGAGAAAGTGCTTGTCACCTGTTTCTGTTTTCAATTCACCTGCGTGACTGTGACTTGTCTGCCCTGCTGGTTCCTGACTTACCGATTTTGGACGTTCTGTGTTGCCTCCCACTGTAAAAGGTGAGGATTTGGCTCACAGCACCCACCTCTCTTCCCAGGAGTTGTGTTGGTTGCCTTTGTAACTTTAGATAATATGTAAGCGGCTGCCTCCTTCCATTGACTTTAGTTCTTTCTCTCCTGTCACGGTGGCGTGCTAGAGCCGGGGCCTGTCAGCTCCTAAGAGCCTGGTGTGTGTGACTTTCTCCCTGCTCCTTGTTCAGTGATGTCGTGTGGGTAGCTTGAGATTGGCCCTGTTGGAAGTATTTACACCAGGGGAATTGGCATACATGACACACCAGGGTACCTCTGCCTGTTAAACAATTACCAACATGCCACTGCTGGGCTCCTGGGGTTTCCTTCCGGCCTCAGCTGGTTCAGGCAGAGGCCGGAGTAGCTTGGCCCCCAGGTGTTTGGCTGGCCCAGCACCAACACCGCCACTCTGTCCGCAGCAAAGCTTCGAGGCGCACCAGGATGAGGCCGTGAGCGTGACGCACATGGTGAAGGCGGGCAGCGGGGTCTGGATGGCCTTCTCCTCCGGTTCCTCCATCCGCCTCTTCCACACGGAGACGCTGGAGCACCTGCAAGAGATCAACATCGCCACCAGGACCACCTTCCTCCTGCCAGGTGAGGCTGCGGGGGCCTCGTCCCGGGCCTGTGGAGGGAGGGCGCTGACAGTAGCCGCCGGCTGAGGTGCATCCTGCCAGCCCATCTCATTAACCTTGTGGGAGCCTTAGGTCGGCCTTGAAACGGGGCCTCCAAGGCGGGCAGTGGAGGGTTTAGAATTCGAGCCCGGGACTGTCCTTTTAAAGCCCTGCTCGCTGTCACCACGTGCCCCCTCAGCCTGCAGCACGGGGGGCGCGGGCTCGCAGGAAGGGAGGCTCTGAGCTCAGTGGACTCTCCCACGCCAGGCAGCTGCTAAAAAGCCACTCTGGGTGGGAACCAGGCCTGTCTACACCTGCCACTCCTCAGGTTGACAGGAAACCAACTCTGCCTCGAATCACCTTCAGGATGAGGTGCAGGGGAAGAGCGAGGGCCAAGCAAGGGGCTCTTTTCTTAGAGGTTTTTCTAAGAAAGGCAGCTGTCCCTTTTAGTTCCCTGGCCAGGCTGGGAGCGGGGGTTGGACAGCATCCCCGGGGCCTGTGCCTCCTCCTGCAGAACTGTTGCTGAGACGTGATGGCGAGGATTAAGGCTGGAGCGCACCTCACCCCTGCCCCGTATCTGTCTGAGGCTTTGGCGGAATTGGCTCTAGGCATCTCCCTTACCATCTGCTGCCCATGCTGCCGCCCAGACCCCCGCAGGCTGTGCTGGGAGAGCAGGGCGGCCACCTGCTCAGGGCCCGTTCCCGCCCACAGCTGGCCTTAGAGCAGACCACAGAGCCAGCTGCACAGCCCGCCTTGCCTCCCTGCTTGGCCCCGCTTCCACCAGACAGGCCGACTGACCCAACCACTGCAGGCTGGGCTGGTCTTAGCAGCTGGGGAGCTGCAGGGCCCTGGGGCCAGGGGCAGAGCAGGCATGGCAGGCTGAGGGCAGATGGGCCACAGCGTCGCTAAAAGCAGCTGAGCCGGGAGACTGGCCTCCCGTGTGTGAGGCTGGGCCAAGGGCGGGCACGCTGGCCAGCACTTGGGGGCCGTGGGAGCCTGTCTCACCCCAGAGGCCTGGTTCCTGACCCCACGTGGCGCGCCTGGAAATCACCCTGGCCCCTGCTTCCTCCCAGCTCGTTGAGACTGTCCCTGACTTGTGGCCACAGGGGATCTTGTACCAACAACAAGATCAACAACAAACAGCGATAGAATGTAATTAACTACCACCCCGCCATGAGCCCTACCGTGGGCGAGGTCCCAGGCGCTTGACCCACAGGGTCTCACTTCATCTTAACCCCGCGAGGTGGGGGTTGTCCCCGCTGTACAGATGCAGAAACTGAGGTTTGCTCAGCAGGTCAGGAGGCCGGTCTGTGGCCATGCCGCCCGCCAGGGGCAGGACTGGGGTCGCAAGAGGTCAGACTCCCTTCAGAGTCCCACTGTGTGTAAGGGGGGAAGGGATGACTTTAGAGGGCCCAGAGTCCTGGCTCAATCACGTTTGGGTCTTGGGCAGGTCTCTGCCTCCCGGAACCTCTGGTCCCTCTGTGGGACTGGAGGTGGCTCCGGGCTCCTGGTAAATGCCATTAGTGCGGGAAGGCACCTTGCCCAAGTCTGGGGTGTAGTGGGTATACCAGGGGAAGAAATGCCCCCTAACATGTTCCCTGGGGTGTGGGAGGAGCCTGCGGGGCCCGTGTTATGGGTCTTTCTCTTTTGCAGCTTTATTTTTTTTTTTTGTATTTCATAGGATTTAGCCATTCTACACAGTAAATCCATTTAGCTATGATAGATGTGTCTCTGTATCACAAAATATTTCCCCATTCACGCTGATAGCTAAATTATTTCAAGTTAGTGGGATAAGGGGAAAGTCGCACAATCTCTGGGCCTTTCCGATCTTGTCAAGCTCATCTGTGGGAGTGGGGAGAGCGAGAGGAAGCGTCACGGTTACCGGGGCCCAGAGGTGGATTTGTGGGCAGATCGGCTGCAGGTGGAAAAAGTCCAGCTCCCAGCGGGGCAGCTGACTCACTGTGGACGTTCAAAACACAGGCCCACGCCCCCTGGCTGACTGGTTCTTTGCACTTACCCCTTAGAGAAGGGAGAGCGTTCGTCATCGGGATGATTATTTCAGGGCCAGGTAAACCGAGGCCCAGGAGGTTAATCGACTGGCCCAAGGTCACGCTGCTGATGAGGCCGGAGCCGGGCGCGAATCGCAGCTCCCTCACAGACTTACTGCGCAGTCCCCCTTGCTAGGCCTCCGTTTCCCCATCTGTACAGTGAGGGGCCGAGATTTGAGTCAGAGCTTGACCATGCCGTGTAGGACAGGCCAGAACCTAGAGTCGGGCAGGCCCTGCTGGGATCCTGGCTCTGCCACTTTGCAGCCCGGTGACTGGGAGTGGGTGGGGAACCTCTCTCCTCCTTGGGCCCTGCCTCTCAGGGAGGCGTGGGCCTGAGACGGTGCAGCCTCTGGCTTGAGTAAGTCGCTGTTCACCGTCATCAGCTCCATCATGCCTTCTCGGCCATCCCCATCCCTGGTCACACCGGCTACTGTGGGCCATGCGTCTCCCAAGGGGCTCCTTGCTCACCCCCACCCGCCGAGTCCATGCCCTTCCCTCCTCATCAGCTACATCAGAGCAGACAGAGCCACCCCTACGCTTGCCGGACCTCTTTGGGGCTGGGCCCTGGGCACATCCGGGATGGAGGCTGAGGTTCCTGGGTACAGGGCTTCCCGAAGGTGACTGTCCTGGGCCTTCTCCCTCCGGCTTGACCGTTCCTACACCACACCGAGAGCCCCCACGCCCGAAGGCCCCCACACCCGAGGGATGCTGGGCTGGAGCTAGCATGGGGCAGAGGGCAGCTTCAAATCCACCCACCTTGTGCCTCGGCTAAAGAACAACAGAGCGGGACTCTTACTTTCTTTATTAGAAATATTTAGAAAGTATTTTTTCTTCGCCCACACCAGCAAATGAAATAATTGCATAATTAGTAATAAATTTGTTCCTCCTTTAAGCGTGGATTTCTTTAAGGGGACGTAAAATATTTATCACGCTTCCTTCCCCCGACCCCTGCCTTCCACTCGGCACCCGACTGGTATTAATGCATTTTTGAGCCTAAACTCCCTCCTCCTCTTAACTAGACAGGTCATTAATAAAACGTTCTCCGAGAGCCCGAGCTTTTTAAAGTTGCATATCTCCAGATAGATGGCTCGGGCGAGCTGCGCGCTGCTGCATTAAGTCTCTGTGATAAAATATTTATCCACCATTAGGATTTTTTTCTCTCGGACTGTTTGTGAGGTGCCTTGCTCTTTCCCTCGAGGCGGAGGGGGAGGAGGAAGGGCCGAGGAATGAGGTCTGATGATGAAGTCATTTCTCAATTCCGGCATCTCTTTGGGTTTCTCGCTGCCTTCCTTTGGGTTTCGGATATGGGGGTGGGGGGTGGGGTGGGGGTGGGCGGGAGGATGCAGGGGCATCAGGAAATGGTCTCCTTCTGGTCTTCAGGCTCCCGGGGCTCCGGAACAGGAGGTGAGGTGCTAGAAAAAATTTGCCACTGTTTCCGCGCTTGGCTTTATTGTTTTTGTGGGTTTATGGCTCTGGTGGAGCTGGTCGGAAGAGTCTAGGTCCTTTTAATAATTATAGCTGTTTTCCTAATAGCCCGCCTTTATTGATTGTGTACTAGGGCTAAGAGCTGTGCTCAACCTTGTATATATATTATCTCTATATGTGCTGTATATGTATATGCATATTTCTAATAACCATAAAATTGAGCTAGGTAGGTTTGTAATATTCATTGATCAATGAAAGTGACTTGTTAATTCTCACAGTTAGTCATTGACATCAGCACCCATGTCCTTTTCCACTTTCCTATATTTTTCATTCATTCATTCATTCATTCACCCATTTACTCACGGATACTTGTTGAGTGTCTGCCATGGGCCGTGTACTGGGAATGGACCTTGAGCACAGATAAGCCTCTGCTCTCATGAAGCTTACAGTTGGGACAGCGAACAGCAAATAAGGAAGGGGAAGAAGAGGGTGGTTATAGACCTTGGCCGGGGCCAGGAGGGAAGACGGCTGGTGATGAGAGGGAGCTCGTAGCCTGAGCCTGTTGCTCTGACTTCCCGGGGCCAGGAACACCCAGTAGGGCCGCAGGTGTCCTAGTAGTTGACGCAGGAGGAGGCAGAGTCCCGGCCCACGGACCCGCAGATGCTGTGTGTGAAATAAATAGTGCCTGCCGTCAAGTGATGAACTGGCTTTTCTTCGGTGTGGTTTGCATTTCCACGTTGAATCAATACTATGAATATGGCTTTTTGAGTTTGCATCACATCGCCAGACTCATATATCTCCCTGCCTGCTGACAGCTCCATTTGGCTGTCTAACGTGCATCTCAAGCGACACATCCAGCGGAGAACTTGGACTTCCACCCCAAGCCCGCTCCTCCCCCATCTCAGTCGGTGTCACTGCCATGTACCCGGCTGCACGAGACAAAACCGTCTGAGTTGCCCTTGATTCCTCCCCTTTCTCTCCTCCCACTCGGGTCAGTCAGCGGGTCTGTTGTTCTGCTTCAAAACAGATCTCAGACCTGTTGGCTTCTCATTTTCTTCCTGCCACCATTGCGTCTCTGTCCCCATCTTACGCCCTTCTTCCCTCACTGCTAAACGCTCCTCTAAAATCAGGCCTGTCCCTCACCGGTTAGACCTTCTGGTAGCGTCTCATCGCGCTCAGAATGAGCAGTCACAGTCCTTACCCCGACTCGTCCACTCTCCTGACCTCCTTCTGCTCATCTCGAGTTTGCCCTGGTCTCCGAGCTGCACTGGCTTCAGTCTGTTCCACCGACCTGCGAAGCTCATTCTTGTCACAGGGCCTTTGCACGTGCTGTCTCCCAGGCTTTGGCTCAGGTCTTGACGTGGCTGCCTTCTCCTTGTCATCCTGATCTTGCATCCTCACCCCTGCCTCCCCATCCTTCCTGGAAGCAGATGGAGGTATGAAATCCCAGGATCCCCCTCCCCTGCTCCATCACCCCATTGGAATCCTCTGTTAGTGTTTGTGTTCCTCGTTTATGTTTTCACTTCCCATGTTCCCTTTCCAGGGCTGCGCTGATACGGTAGCCACATTTAAAATTAAATGGAATGAAAAATTCAACCCTCAGCCCCACTAGCCGCATTTTAAGGGCTCAGTAGTCACGTGGTTAGTGGCTATATAATTGGGCATTCTGGTAGAGAACATTAGCATCATGCCAGAAAGTTCTAGAATGTTTGCTCCTCAAGAGCAGAACGCTGTGTGTGGTTCCTGCTGTGCCTCCCACGCCGAGGGCGGAATCCCGCACACCACAGGTGCTGGGAATATCCCAGGGTTCCAGTGAATGGATGAGTGACGGTCTGGCACGCTGGGTTAGACAAGGCTGTGGGGACCCCAAGATGGAAACCCTTCTTCTGGGGTGACTGGAGCCCCAGCATTCTCCTCCGAGACGGTTTGCTCTGCAGAGGAGGCCCCTACCCCTCCTCGTATGGACCTGAGGCAATTTGTGCAAGAGCAGAGAGGCATTGGGAGTGCTGGGCTGTAATAGGCAGGGGCTTGAGTGCGGCTCCCGACCCTGCACTCACCAGCTGGGAGAACTCTGGACCTTGACATTCCCTTCTGGGAAATGGGCATAGCATCTGCGCCTTCAGGCCTCTCAGTGGTTGCAAGGCTTACGTCAGACGAGAGCAAACACGAGCACTGCCGACGCTCCAAAGCAGTTTTCTCAAAGTGCGGTCCCTGGACCAGCAGCATCCTGCCACCAAGGACCTTGCTAGAAATGCCGTTTGGGGCCTCACCTCGAGGGGGTCGGCCCCCGGTTGTGAGCCCTCCTGTGGTGCCGACGGCAGGCCCAGGTTGAGGACCACCGCTCTCAGCAGCATCTCACACATCACGTGGCGTTGTGATTGCCGAGATGCATGGTGTGAGTTAGAATTTCCTTTAGGGGAGAATCAGCCCCTCTCAGCGGGGCAGGAGGATCTGGGCAAGAAGCGGGCCAGCCCTCGGGGAAGCCAGGCGTCTGCTCTGGGCTTCTCCTTCACGCCCATTCTCACTGACCCAACTGTTGGCAATGGAACAGCAACTACTGTCATGGCCGACAGCACCGTCTGTGCACACCATGTTTCATCCTCGGGACAAGGCTGTGAAACGTCATTGCCTGCCCTGCTCTCGGCACTGGCTCTGCAGCCCACAGTCTTCCTCCCCGTGAAGGGCAGTGGGACCCTCCCTGCCATCGCTGTGTGCTAAAAGGAAGAGACAGCACCCAGGGGATAGCCAACAAGAGCTAATCTGGGCCGACATCAGAAACATGCTCGTCCCTGGCGCGGAGCTGTCCTTTGCACTGTCGGGCCCAGGGACTGCAGGGCGGAAGGGCCCACATGGGCAACGTGTCAAGCCTGGGCTGAAAAGCTAGGGGCTGCAACAGGTTTTCAGTTTGCTTTGCTTCTCGTATCCACCCTGGCCCCTCCCACGCATCCCGTCTGCACCAACCTCCTCTTCACCTCAAACCTGCTCCCTCCCAGGACCCCCTGGCTTCACTCCCAGGCGGCTGGCGGTGACCCTGGTGTGGGCCCCCGGGCCTGCCCCGTGTGCCAGAGCACCCAGCCCCTGTATGCGGGAGCTCACAGGGGCCTGCACCGTGCTCTGTGACATTCCCTCATTGCGTCCTTGCAGCAGCCCCAGGTTACACGGGAGGAAGCTGAGGCTGGGGGAGGGAGCACGCAGCCTCCCACGCCCCAGCTCTTACCCACACCCCGTCCAGCTTCTTGCTTGTCTCCCCGGAGGAGCCCGGGTGATACCCTTCCCTCAGTTTGAGGTGGCTCCCAGAACCCACTGCTGCCCCCAGGGAGCGTGCTGCTCACACTGGCCTCTCTCTCTGCAGGCCAGAAGCACGTGTGTGTCACCAGCCTCCTGATCTGCCAGGGTCTGCTCTGGGTGGGCACCGACCAGGGTGTCATCGTCCTGCTGCCTGTGCCTCGGCTGGAAGGCATCCCCAAGATCACAGGTGAGGTTCTGGGAAAGTCTTGTCGGGGCCCAGGGGTCAGCTGCAGATGGAGGGGCCTGGGGGCATGGTGTTCATGCCCAGATGTTTGTGGGGTGTCTGTTCTCCAGTTTTCTCTGCCATCGCAGGCTGCACTGTGGTACAATGCAATCAAATCACCTCAGCCCCATAGTCTCCCGCTTTCTTTCTGAGCCTCAGTCCCCCATTCTGGCAAATGGGCACAGTCGTGCATATTGGCCAGGTGGTTTGAAGACTGGCTGAGACACCTGACTGATGGCAGACGCTCTGCCAGGCCCATTCTGCTCCCTCCCCACAGCAGCTCCAAAACATCCAGGCTCCAGAGATAGAAATAACTGCGGGCTCCTTGGGGTGAGGGCTGTGTACAAATGTGTGTGCGTGGATTAGAGGAAGGCCTGCCCTGATGTGAGGCAGCAGGGCCCAGGAGGACAAGTGGGTCAGGGAGGACCCAGAGCTCTGGGCCGCTCTGTGCCTCCTCCCTGGGAGCAGGGGTGAGTGGGAGGGAGGAGCCCCGAGGGAGACCAGCCCCACCAGATCTCAAGCTCTCTGCTAAAGAAACACCCTAAATTCTGAGATTTCCTGCTTGCATCATAGAGATCATATTGTTCATCCTGGGCTGGGTCCTGGGGTTGCAGGGATATACCGGGCAGAGACCCTGCCCCTAAGGCAGTGGTCGGCAAACTGCGGCTCGCGAGCCACATGCGGCTCTTTGGCCCCTTGAGTGTGGCCATGAAGTTTCAATCGCGCTGTACGTGCGTGCCCGCACGTGGTATTTTGTGGAAGGGCCACACTCCAGGGGCCACCGTGTGCCGGCCACTGCCCCAAGGAGTGATGGTTTGGTGGGGCGGCTGTAGTCCAGGGTGGCAGGTGCTAAGTGGGGCGCCCAGGGACTGTGGGCACAGAGACAGGAGTGATGAGCTCTCCGTGGTGATTTCCAGAAGGATGTGCTGTGGAGGAGCTCGAGCTGGGCTTCCAAGGATGTTATAGAATCAGGTGGGTGGGAAAGGTTCTCTAGGTGGACGCAATGGCTGGGGCAAAGGCCCTGAGCCGTGCGGGTGGCTCAGGCAGGGAGCTGCAGGCGCTTTCACACTGAGGGTCCCCCGGTGCTTTATAAGGTCACTCCTGTCCTCCTGCTTCACCCAAGAAGGTAGCCTGGAGCATAGAACCCCCCCCCCCCAACTCCACAATCAATTCTCCCAGAGATGTGTGGGTGCCTTGCTTAAAGCTCTGGACCTTTGGCCCCTTCTCTCCGCCCCACGTCTGCAGGGAAAGGCATGGTCTCCCTCAACGGTCACTGCGGGCCTGTGACCTTCCTGGCCGTGGCCACCAGCATCTTGGCCCTGGACATCCTACGGAGTGACCAGGAGGAGGCCGAGGGCCCCAGGGCCGAGGAGGACAAGCCGGACGGGCAGGCTCCTGAGCCAGCGCCCGCGCCCTCCGGCCACGTGGGCCGGGAGCTGACCCGCAAGAAGGGCATTCTCCTGCAGTACCGGCTGCGCTCCACGGCCCACCTCCCGGGCCCGCTGCTCTCTGTGCGGGAACCCGCGCCCGCCGATGGCTCCGCCCTGGAGCACAGCGAGGAGGACGGCTCCATCTACGAGATGGCCGACGACCCTGACGTCTGGGTGCGCAGTCGGCCCTGCGCCCGCGATGCCCACCGCAAGGAGATCTGCTCCGTGGCCATCATCTCCGGCGGGCAGGGCTACCGGAACTTCGGCAGCGCCTCCGCCTCCGGTGTGGGCGGGAGGCCGGCCTCCTGCGGGGAGACGGACAGCACCCTCCTCATTTGGCAGGTGCCGTTGTTGACGCTATAGCCCCCACCCAGGGAGCACAGCTGCAGCCGTGCCCGACTCTCGGCCTGCGTGGGATCTTCAGCCAGCCAGGGCCCCCGGGAATGTGGGTGGAATCGCCTTCCAGGGACCTGCCCAGGGCTGTGTGGAGGGGCCTGGGTCTCTAATAACGACCCAGGTGGAGGGCCCTGGGTCTCTAGTAACTACCCAGACGGAAGGGCCTGGGTCTGTAGTTACTACCCCAGGGGGACGGGCCTGGGTCTCTAGTAATGACCCAGGTGGACGGGCCTGGGTCTCTAATAACTACCCAGGTGGACGGGCCTGGGTCTCTAATAACTACCCAGACGGAAGGGCCTGGGTCTCTAGTAACTACCCTAGGTGGACGGGTCTGGGTCTCTAATTACTACCCTAGGTGGAGGGGTCTGGGTCTCTAGTTACTACCCCAGGTGGACAGGCCTGGGTCTCTAGTAACTACCCTAGGTGGACGGGCCTGGGTCTCTAGTAACTACCCTAGGTGGAGGGGTCTGGCTCTCTAGTAACTACCCTAGGTGGACAGGCCTGGGTCTCTAGTAACTACCCTAGGTGGAGGGGTCTGGGTCTCTAGTTACTACCCCTGGTGGACAGGCCTGGGTCTCTAGTAACTACCCTAGGTGGAGGGGTCTAGGTCTCTAGTTACTACCCTAGGTGGACAGGCCTGGGTCTCTAGTAACTACCCAGGGAGACAGGCCTGGGTCTCTGGTTACTACCCATATGGACAGGTTGGGTCTCTAGGAACCACCCAGGTGGACAGGCTGGGTCTCTAACACCCACCCATGTGGACAGGCCTGGTCTCTAGTTGCTATCAGAGGCGGAGGGGCCTGGGTCTCTAGTTGCTATCCGAGGGGACGGGCTGGGTCTCTAGTTACTACCCAGGTGGACAGGTTGGGTCTCTAGGAACCACCCATGTGGACAGGCTGGGTCTCTAGGAACCACCCATGTGGACAGGCTGGGTCTCTAACACCCACCCATGTGGACAGGCTGGGTCTCTAACACCCACCCATGTGGACAGGCTGGGTCTCTAACACCCACCCATGTGGACAGGCTGGGTCTCTAGGAACCACCCATGTGGACAGGCTGGGTCTCTAGGAACCACCCAGGGGGACGGGCTGGGTCTCTAGTAACTGTCCTGGCTGAGCAGAGGAAAACCTCTTCCTTTTAAAACAAGATAAAATTTAGAGTTTGGGGGAGGGGCTTGGGTTTGTGGAGAGGGAAGAATCCTCTGAGGAAATGGCCTTTTTTAAAAAACAAAACACAAAACCTCACAACTGCCTGACAAGCCCAGCGCCTCTTGTCCGGAGGCGGCCCGCGCCCCTCCTGGGAGGGCGTGAGCGTGTGCGTGTATGAGAGCGTGTGGGCTGGTGTGTGAATATATATAAATACGTATATATGGTGTATATTATCTGTGTATAAATAAAGTCTGTACATATTGGCGCTCTGGGAGATGCTGGAATAAAAGGCGAGAATAACACCGGTGCTTGGATTGAGGGGTTTTTCTTTTTGAGATGGGACACGGGGAGAGACCGAGCAGCTGCCTCTGGGTGGGGAGTGTCCGGGAGCCGGAGTGCCGCCGCCCTCGGCAGGAGTGGCCCAGGCCCGGCACCCGAAGACCTGCCACGAGAGCAGCCCCAGGACTGTGCCGTTCCGTGTGGTCGCTGTTGGTCACCGATGGCTACTTAATTTTTAAAATTAATTACAACTAACTTAAATGACAAATTCAGTTTCTCATCCCATTAGCTTGCAGAGCCCCACAGGTGAGTGCCGGCTGTCGGACAAGGAGGTGGACAGGCCTGGGTGTCTCGTATCCTTTTCCACCATTCTGGAAAGCTCCCTTCTACTCGAGAAGGGGCTCTTGGGAGCTTCTTTTCTGAATATCTATAATCATAAAAGGGTAATATGCTAATTAGACCAGACATCCTTCCAGATGTCCTTCCTTCCAGACAAAGTCGCAGCGGGCAGGGGCCGAGGCAGAGGTGGCAGAGGCCCCTGGCCGTGGTGGTGGTGGTGGGCAGGGGCCGGAGCCAAGGCCCTTGCATGAATTTCGTGCACTGGGCCTCTAATCTACACACACACACACACAAACACACACACACACACACACACACACACACATAGCTGATATGCAAAGTGCCCCCTCGGGAGTTCGACCAGGAGACCTGGAGTCCGATCGCTTGCTATGACATGTGCTGACCACCAGGGGGTGGCGTGGAATGAAGGAAGGCCCCGGCTGGCAGCTGGCAGCCAGGAAGGAAGGCCTCAGTGGGCAGCTGGAAGGCCCCAATCAGAGCTGATCGCTGGCCAGGCCTAGGGACCCTACCCATGCACAAATTTCGTGCATCAGGCCTCTAGTGTTTTGATAAAAAGGCTGGGCCCCAGCTCTGGAGGGTATGGAAGCAGGACACCTTGGCTCTGCCAACCTGGGAAGGAAGGAAGCTGGGGCTTCACCACATGGAAGGTGGGGTCTAGGTCAGGGGTGGGCAAACTTTTTGACTAGAGGGCCACAATGGGTTCTTAAACTGGACCGGAGGGCCGGAACAAAAGCATGGATGGAGTGTTTGTGTGAACTAATATAAATTCAAAGTAAACATCATTACATAAAAGGGTACGGTCTTTTTTTTTTTTTTTAGTTTTATTCAGCCGTAGTTTGCCCATGGCTGGTCTAGGTTGTTGCTATGGGCAACAGAGCAAGGCAAGGATGGGGCTGAGGTCCCTGAGTCTGAGGGAAGATGGAATGAGTTCTGGTGGTGGGAGCAGAGCCCAGGCTATGGGGGAATTGGCAGGTGGGACTGCCCAGGGTCCTGGATTCCTTCTGGCTCGATCTCCATCCTTATATTCCTAGAGCTGCCTGCACAGAAAAAAACAAAACCCAAACACCCCGCCCAAAAGGGAAGTGTTTCCTCCACCTTCCCACCCAGCCATCTGTCATCTGTCCGAGAGTCTGTCCAGCCACCCACCCGTCTGTTCTCTCTTCCACACTCACCAAGAGCGGCAGCCCCAGGACAAGGGAGAAGGAAAGCAGGGCCCAGTGGAGATGGGAGGCACACCTCTCACCTGGACCCTCCGAGAAGCTCGAAGCTCTGGGAACCCAGTGCAAAGAGCCAGCACGGAGAGGATGTTTCCACCGGGTCCTCACCAGCCGGTGGGGCCGCACTCCCGGAGGAGCCAGTCTCACATCCACATCGTTCAGAAGCCCCTTGAGCTTCTGCTGGATTCAGGCACCGTGTTGGCTGCTGGGGCTGTGGAGGTGAGCAAGGCAGTGGCATCCCTGCCCCTAGGAAGTGCATGGTTAGAGGGCAGGGCAGGCATAGGTGCCAGCGGGGTATGGGCTTGGGGTCGGGGAGGGTGTGCCGAGAAAGGGGGAGGGCCTCTGTCAGGGGGCGGCCTATGGAAGACGGGGTGTGTAGCGTGTCGTGGTTGGCGCGATTGCCAGAAGGCCAGGAGGGGATGGGGGAGCTGTGTATGCAGGAACCATGGCCGTGGGCCCTGACCAACGACATTCCGTTGCAGCTGAACCCATCTTCTCTGGGCCTCAGTTTCCCAACTTGTATGGAAGGGAGACTCACTACTGTCCTTCCCACCTCCACTGGGAGAGGGGTGTCCTCTTTAAGTACGAGTGGGACAAAGTGTGCTGCCCTGCAGGGTGGGGCTCCCATGGGTGCCTTTATCCCGTTTGTCAAAGGACGGTCAAGACTTCTCCTAGGACAGTGACGAGTGAGTCGAGGCCGCTTGGGACGGTGAGCGAGCCTGAAGTCTAGGATCCGGCAGGCCTGCGTTCAAGGACAGCCCCACTGAAGACCTGCCATGTGGCTCCCAGCCTCGGTTTCCTCATCCCTAAAACGGGGACCACGACCGACACTTGCACGATGGCTGTGGACCAGTGGTGACAAGCCCACGGAACGGGCCTGGAGCAGTCCTCCGGTGGCGGCAGCGGCGGCGGCGTTGTGATTATTCCTGACGTCACCACAGCCGCCTGGCTGCGCACTCTCGGAGGCAGACTGCTTTTGCTAAGACATCCCCCCGTTTGCACAGGAGTTGGCGTCTGAGAGCTCTGTGGGTCTGTTAGATCCTGGATCTGTGGATCTAATGGGCTGGTGACATCCATCACCGAGACAATGAGGACTTTGCTACTCTAGTGAAATGATCAAATCAGGCAACACTCATTTCTGAGTCTCTGACAACAGCAAGGGAGGATGGGGGTGTCGGAAACGACTTCAAGACGTGCGGCAGATGAGCCTTGCATCGGAGAGGGGCCCTCGCTTTAGATGCTGATCAGAGTAACAATAACCATGGCACTTGGGCCTGCCAGCTCACTTCACCCCCTCGGCCACTCTTGCCTCATTCTGCAGGCAAGGGACCTGAGGCTCAGGGAGGGTAAGTAAATGTCTGAGGAAGCGTCAGGGCCAAGACCGAGGTCTGTCTGCCACCACAGCCAGACTTTTAGCCACCAGGTGACTCCCCCTCCAAAAGCAAATCATCCCACTAGACAACTGAACACCTTTGCTGGCCTGACATGAGGCTCAAGTCACTGGGGATATAACGTTGTCCCTGTGCTCCTCGCGAGACCCACAGTCCAGCAAGCAGGATGCTGCTGCCAGGGAGATGCAACCAAGGAAGGCTTCCTGGAGTCAGTGAGTTGTGGTGCACAAATGGGGGCTTTGGAGTGATGCAGATTTGGGTCTGAATCTTGGCTCTATCACGTATTTCCTGTGTGGCCTGAGCCATGCAGTAATCTGTGCTGCCATGGCCTCCGCTGAATAAATGGTCCATGACACCTTCCTTGCGGGGTGGCCGTGAGCACCCAGGAGGTGTTAGGAGTTTGCTGTTACTATTACTGCTACGGCCCCTCATCCTGCTGCTATTCCTATCGGCATCATTTCAGTGAATTCTCAAAATTAACCGGAACGTGGAGGCTGCGAGGATGCAGTAACCTGGGAGGGTGACGAGGACAGGGTGGGGGGTCTGCAGTTCTGGGGAGGTCTGGTTCTAGAAGGGACTTGGCTGGAGGTGGGGGTTGGGATTGTGTTCTGGCCCAAGCTGTCTTGATCTGTTTTTAAACCTGAGTCTAGGAGGAGAAGCCAGCTGGCTCTCTCTGTAGCCAGAACCATGACAGCCTCCTGGGCACAGGTCTCCGGCCCTGTCAGAGGGGAGCCAGCCCTCCTGCCACCAGCATGTTTTGTGTGACCCTGTGAAAGCCCAGGACACGCACAGAGTAGCCCAGGCACTGCCTGTTCTGTGGGCATGACCTAGCCTCCAAAGCCTGCTTTCTCGTGGGCATGTGTGTCCATGAGGGGCGTGTTCACATGGGGATGGAGTGTGAGCTTCAGCCACCGAACATGGGGATGCGAACAGCACTGACCCAACCGGTCCGGTGGGGGAGACAGAGCCACCCACGGGGAACATTCCCCGTGTGATGGGAGAGGTCCTTGCTCTCAGGAAGCTCCCAGGCTGATGGAGGACTCAAGCCCCTCTCACCTGGTTGGACGGGGAAGCTGCCAGTCTGATGGGGCGGCATGGCTCTGCCCCTGCCTGATGGGGGGGACCTAGCCTAACGCTCAGGCTCACTCACCTGCCCATTGGATGGGGAAGATACAGTTTCTGCCGGGGAGGAGACCCGAGCCTGACGGTGGAGACCCCCGGAGTGAAGTGGGGGATAAATCCTTGGCTCTCAGGGCGCTCCCTGTCTGACAGGGGAGATGGGGCCCTCAACGTGAAGAGACTTCATAATAAGACACACGACAGAAACTTTTAAACGATGCAGACCTATTTCCAGCGCTGCCGAACTACTCCAAACTCCTCATTTACACTTTCCTGGAACCTGCAAATAGCAAGAATGTGTAAATTGAGGAAAATTAATATAATTACCGGAGCTATTTCTTGTCATCTCTTCACGTCAACAGAAGCCACAAACCTTTCCTGGTGAGAAGCGGGTGGTTATGGGCTCTGTCCCCGATGAGACAGCTGGCTCCTTCTCTGCAGGGAGCAGATTCCGACGGGTGCCCCGTGAGCTCTGGAAGCCGGCCTGCCCGACAGATGGGCCGGGCTGCGTGGTGGAGAGGGCGCCTGGGCCCTGAGTCAGGAGACGTGGCTCGAGGTTTGGCACCAGCCTGAAGGTGACCCACAGGTCCCGAAGCCTCTGTGAACCCCAGTCTTGCCCAACACTAGTCCAAACGTGCTGAAGTCTTGCTGGGTCCAGGGACTGTCTGTGCTTAGAGCATTGTGTCCCCGACCGCCATGAACTGTCACACCCATCCCCAGAGGAAGTTCTGTTATCCCCACTTTACAGATGAGGACATTGGGGCTCAGGGAGGCGAAGTCACTTGCTCAGTGTCACACAGCACAGAAGTCGCCAGGGCTGTGGGTCTCAACACTCCTCCCCCTTCCTTGGCCCATTTCCCGGCCCCGGCCCCTCCACTCTGCTGCCCAAGGGCCCTGTGTGAGAACAGGTGCCCAAACAAACCACAGAATGTTTGCAAGCCGTGAGCATCGGTCTCCTCTTCTGGAACTTGGGGATATTAACAGCATCGACTGCCTGGGCTATTTTGAGGATGAAATGAGTTAATTTATGTTAAATAGTTAGAGCCGTTCCTGGCCCATAGGGAGCCCTCATTAACTTGATTATCATCTCGTGCTCCTCGGTAGAGCGTTAAATGCCCCTGGCACCTGCTCAGAGAGGGATAGCTGAGCTCCCCCAGTGTGCGTTCACAGCGGTTTGCGCAGAACCTCTAACAGTTCTGCTGGCTGAGGACTCACCACGCCGGTGTCGCTCACCAAGGATTTGGGGAAATAAAGGCAAAGTGCAGGAAACACCATTGTGACGAATAGGCATCCATCCCATTGCGAGCTGTTAGTTGGATCCAGAAATAGATGGTGTAAATGTGCAGAAAACAGGGTTTGAGCAAGCATATCCTGGAGTAGGTTTCATTCATTCATTGTTCACTCATTCATCATTCATTCATTCACTCACACACTCATTCTTCCGTGCATTCATTATTCATTCACTCATTCCTTCATGCATTCATTCACTCATTCACGCATTCATCTGTTCAGTGCCTACTGCTGGTTGCTCTGTGCCAGTTTAGGGCAGGGCAGTAGAGCCAGGGCAGCCAATGAGTACACACTCCCTCTGCATTCATGGAGCAGAGCCCCCAGCCTCATGGGCAACAGGTTTGAAAACAGAAGCTTCACAAGCCCAACATGTAGGGATGAGAACATTGGCTTGGGGGTCTCACAGATGTGGGACCTGCTGGGGCTACATGGGGGGAAGGGCCTCAGGACCATCCTTTTCCAGGCCCATCTCGGGGGAAGGGAGACCCACCATGAAGCTGGACTCTAAACCCAGGGCTTGGATTCCAGGGATGGGGGTGCTGTGGCCGGGGAGGCCAGCTCCATGCCAGAGATCTGAGTTCTGGTCAGCCTGAATCTGACTCTGACAGGCAGACATGATCTTTCCTCCTGTTATTTCTGCTGAACTAGGTGACCAGGCCTTTTCCTTTGGCAAATCCAGGGACATGCATTTTCATGCTGTTTTGCATAAATCAGGAAACTTATTTGCATCCATTTGCATGTTTTGCTGGATGTGAGGTTTGAGAGGCCCAAATTTAATTTGTGTAAAATGAAGTAAGGGTGTTGATTTCACCCCCTCTCTGCTGGCCTGAACCCCACAGGCCATGAAGGAGCTCAGAGGCGCTGGTGGTCGCCATTGGATGGCTACACCAGGGAAGGACTCTGGGGCCAGCTCTCCCCGTGCTGCTCAGGGCTGAGGGGGAAGGAGAACCATTGGGCAACTGGGTACAGATGAAACCACAGGGCAGGGTGTCCTCAGTGTCCCATCACAGACTTTGGAACAGGTATAGACAGGGGGAGTGGTGTACATGGTTCTAGCTAGGCTCTTTATACATGACTAGAGGCCTGGAACACGAAATTCATGCACAGGTTCCTAGGCCTAGCCTGCAACCAGGGCCATCTTCCCTGGCTGCTGGCAGCCAATCCACCCCCTGCCACCACCCACCTGGGTTCCCAGTTTGCCATTGGGCAATCAGAGCCTGACGGCCGGGGGGAGGGGCCAAGAGGTCAGCAGTTCCTGCCTGCTCGCTGGTGCCACCCCTACCGCAGGTGGTCCTCTGTGTGTGGGATAATCGGTGGGGCAGGGGCCTTGGTCTGGTGCCGCCTGCATCCCCCGCCACCTACCCCTGGGTCCCCATTCACCATCGGGCGATTGGAGCCTGCCGGCCCAGGAAAGGGACCGAGAGGTGGTCGGTGCACCTCATAGTGTCATCGAGCAGTTGTTCTGGTCGTTCTGCCATTATGGTCACTAGGCTTTTATTATATAGAATAGTCCATTTCACCGTAGAGTCTTATGAGGTGGGTTATTAACTCCATTTTAGAGATGAGAAAACTGAGGCACAGGAGCTGAAGTGACCCATCCAAGGCCACATGACTGGTCTTTAGAGACCCTGGACTCAACACATGCCAATTTGGTTCTGGACCTTTCTGCCCTGATTAGAGAGCAGAGAAGCCCTCTCTTCTTTCCCTGTGTTTTGCTGGACTACCTCATGAAGAAGGAACCTTGGCAGCACCCATGCCTCCAGAATGGCCTGGTCTCCATGACAACAGGTACACAGCCCTGTAGCAGGCCAATCCCAGGGAGGGCTGGAGGGGTGGCTTCCTTGAGGGAAGGAACCTCAGCCCCAGCCCCTGGCATATGCCTGGCACTGAGCAGGGCTCTGTGAGTACTTCCTGAGTTCACTCAGATGAATAGACAGCAGGTGGCACAGCCCTCCCTGGATGAAGATTCTCAGTCACCTCCCCCCATTGAGAAGTGGTGTCCTTTCTCATCCTTTTGAATCAGAGTTGGTCTTGAATGAGTTTGACAATGAGCTATGTCGGAAGGGACACTGCGCCAGTTCTGGGCCTGGTGGCTTCCGCTTTCATGCTCGTGGGAGCTCTGTGTTGGCATGTGAGAAGTCCAGCTACCCTGATGGAGGGATGGTAGAGACAGAGGCATGGCGACAGGGAGGACCTGGGAGAGAGTCCCAGCCCTGGGTGTGCGCACATGCACCCATCATCTTGGACACTGCTGCCTGGTCAAGTCGCCAGAGGACTCCAGATGATGCCACAGCCAGCAGAAGAACCACCCAACTGAACCCGGTGAACCCACAGAATCACGAGAGAGCGTAACAAAGGGTGTGTTTTAAGATGCTCATTTGGGGGGTGGTTTGTGACATATAACCCCAAGCCTCCTCCTCTTCCAGTGGTAAAAGTACCCTCTGGGATGCCCCCTCGCCTGCTTTCCGGTGGGGGTGCCCATCATAATAATACCTTGTTCCTTCAGTCACAGGAGCAGGTGTGGGACCCAGGCCTGGTCAGGATAACATTTCACCTCCTGGCAAAAGCGAATCAGTGGTTGACCATTGACCTATGAACCAGAAAGTCATGGTTCAGTTCCTGGTCTGGGCACACGCCTGGGTTGCAGGCTCCATCCCTAGTGTGGGGCGTGCAGGAGGCAGCGGATCCATGATTCTCTCTCATCATTGATATTTCTCTCCCTCTCCCTTCCTCTCTGAAACCATGTGACCCAAGATGAACCAATCAGAGCCCTTCCCTGGGCTCTCTGTATTGATGCTGGGCGAGAGAAGCTCTGTTTCTCCTGGGGTTGCTGAACTGGGACAATGTAAACCCGAGAGCTGCCTGTGGTCACGTTCCCCACCCTGTCCCCACGTCAGCTCAGGATGCAGCAATCCCAGCCGCGGTGGCAGAGAAGGAGGCCATGGCAGGGACGAGAGGTGGTGTGGTGACACCTTTGGGTTCTTGGAGGCTCTGGGCCAGCTCTCCCTCTGGACTTCCCAGGTTCACGAGCCGATAAATGTTTGTCCCCCCCCCCCCCTTTAAGCTGGCTGACACACACCACACTGGCTCCATTTCTTTGTCTTATCAAACTTAGAAAGAGCTGCGCTCTTCCGTCCTAGAGGCTCGGTTCTCCAGGGAAAGAAGCGCTGTCCCCGCTTCGTCTGAGGCCCTGCCGGATGCTTTGCCCCCTTCCCTGCCTTCACAGGAGGCGGCTCCTGGTCATTTGCAGGGTGGGAGCAGGTCGCAGGCCCAGTGGCGGGGCCACCCATCATCTCTCCTCTCTCCATGTGGCAGCTCAGTTCCGGGCAGAGCGAGGAGGAGACCGGGCGGGGCAGAGAAGGAGAAGCAAGGGAATCCCATTAATTTTCCCGGCCCTAAATCAATTAAGTGGGAGCCTCCGATGACTCTGATCTGATTTTTCATTTTCAGGATTACAATTATCAGCCGATATTTCTGGCAGCTCAAGCTTGAAATGGGACAGCACAGCGGAGGCTGTCAGAAAGGGAAGGGTACCCGATTACACCAATTATCTAATTGTTTGCTAATGAGACACCCAGCGCATCTCCGTGTTTACAGTGAGGGACAGAAAAGCTCCGCACCGTCATTGTTCTTCTGCTTTGCTGATGGGCACGTGCCCAGCTCGGGGTTTTACATCCCAAGGAGAACTTCCATTCTCAGGACCCTTCATCCCTGGATACCACTGGAACCCCCGCCATCTGTCCTTGGGCCTTCTGCCTGCTCTCGGAGGTAACGGAGTGCAGGGGACCCCGGTGTGCTCGGCCCCCGTGGGGGTGACGCTGTGCGGGTTGCAGGATGCATGGTGAGAAACGTGTCACCCCCAAACCAAAGAGCAAGTGGAATGAATTGGGCCGAAAGGTGTTCTGAGTCAGAAACCTCTCTTGCAGACGGGGAAAGAGGCTCAGAGAGGGCGTGAGTTGGCTAAGGTGCCACAAGAGGGTGCGGCAGAGCTGAACCTGAACCCCAGGTCTCCTGATTCCTGATGTAATAGTCTTTCCACCCACTGCCTTCAGCCTGTGTGAACTCGGGCTGCTTAAGTCTCCTGTGCAGCTGACTGGACTGGGAAGCAGATCTGGACCAGAATCGTGGGAGGTGTCCAGGCCCTGGAGCACCCCATTTACCTGCAGGCTCATGCGGGGCAGCGGCCCTTCCTCAGCACGAGGTGTGGTGGGCAGGGCTTTGCTCTCGGGTCAGAAGAACCAGCAGTGTGACCTTTACCAAATTCTTTAACCCTTTGAGCCTCAAAGGGAACAGAAGGCCCAAAATGAGGGAGGACTCATGAAAATCAGTATTTAAATGGTTTATTCAAAGAACCATTTTCCCAAGGACACACAAGGTCAGAGTGTGTATGTGTGCGTGTGTGTGTGTGTGTGTGTGTGTGTGTGAGACTTCCATCATTTTATGTTAGTAATAAAAATAGCTGCTGTTTACTGAGGCCCCGTTATATATTCCAGGCATGTGTCAAATACTTTACATGTATTATCTCATTTAATCAGTGCTATGAGGCAGGAATGCCACCCCCATTTTATGGCTGAGGAAACTGAGGCTCTCAGAGATCAGAGGGTTTAACTCCCATGGCACATGGCAAGGCCAGGATGGAGACCCAGCAAATTTCCAAAGACCTGTGTCAATCCTCAGCTGAGGATATTTTCCTCCCATTGATTTTTAGAGAGAGTGGAAGAAGGGAGGGGGCGGGGACAGAGAGAGAAACATTGATGTGAGAGAGACACATTGATTGGTTGCCTCCCACATGTGCCCGGCCAGGGCTGGAAATTGGGCCTGCAACCAAGGTACATACGTGCCCTTGACCGGAATCGAACCCTCGACCCTTCAGTCCAAGGGCTGATGCTCTAACCACATAGAAAAACTGGCCAGGGCTCCAGAGACCTTTAGAAACAAGATGGGTCCCCTGGGTCCTTTGGTCTCCAGAGGATGAACTGCATGGAGGGGCAGGGAGGACAGGGGAGGGACCGTGTGTCTGAGAGGTGCTGTCCACAAGCCCTGTCACCCCTCACCAGATCCTGATTTGTAGAGCTCAGGCCTCGGGGCAGCTGCTCTCAAAAACACGGTCAGCTTTGCTCTGCTGAACTTCATTAGCTTTATCAAATTAATTTACGCAAGCCAGTGTGGCCACCTAATTAAGATGTTTCCCAGGGCCCTGTGCTGGCTGCTTAATGAGGCAGGAGCGGCTGGACTCAGGTTCAGAGTGCCCTGGGGTGAGGAGGGGAGGAGGGTGAGAGCGTGACCTGACTGCTCTGGGTCCCGCTCGGCCACGGTCCAGGCTGCGAGTGACCAGCGCCCGCCGCTTCCTCCATCTGCCTGCCCTGGGGCCCGCTCGGCCAGCCGGGCTTCCTGGGGAGGCGGTGTGCTGTGGCCGCAGTGCCTGGGTTTCTGTAGTTAATTTTGTAAGTGACACAGATAAGACTTTCTGTTGTGCCTGATAATGGCTCAGCCCTGCGGCAGAATGCCCTCAATTTGGTTAATGAACTTTTCTTCTTTCTGTAAATGAGATTGTTGAGATGGGAGGGGAGGATAGGCGAGGCGCCAGCTAGGAGGCTATGGCAGCGTGCCAGGTGAGCTGGGGGCTGTCTCCCGGGGAGCAGGGTGGAGTGATGGGAGAGCTGCTCCTTAGGCGTGATGGCTGGGGGCCAGGGAGCATCAGGGAGCCTCCTTGTTTCTGGTTTGGGGAACTGGACTGATAGTGGTCGGTCCCGACAATTCACTCATTCATTCATTCATTCATTCATTTTCATTCATTCATTCATTCATTCATTCAATACACACACAATCACACACATACACATATTGCTCATTTACAAGCCAAGCCCTGGGTTCTAGGTACTGGGGATAAAGCCACAAACAAAACAGATCAATTCCCTGTCCTCTCTGAGCCAACAGTCTAGTAAGATTTAGTCTTAAACTCATAAGAGTTTGTAAATTGTCGCCTCTGCCTCTGTCAGCCTCGGAGAAGGAGAGAGAGGGTCTGGCCCCACCCCTCGCTGCTTCCACATCCTGAGAAACTCGGCTGCTCCGGGCCTTCCCTGGCTCAGCTCCTCAGAGCCTCAGGCCCAGCGGGGAGGTGCCCGCTCCCCTCTTTGCAGTGGAGGGTCAGACTCTGGGAGTCACCCAGAGGAAGCAGGGAGGTGGGGGCAGACGGGCTCTGACATCTATGCTGCTGACAGGCATGCTGTGGTCCTCTCTGAGCCTCGGTGTCCTTATCCACACAGTGGGTGTCCTGAGTCTCTCGGGCCTGCTGAAGCCTTGCAGAGGGGCCAGGATTTCCTGTCTCAGGCCTTGGGGACAGATGTGGAAACCAGATGCTGGCTGCTTTAGGGCAGGCAGCCTGGGCGGCACCTGTGCGGGAGAGGGAAGGAAGGAGGTACTGCCTGCCCGGGTCTCTGGTTCTGCCTGGGGACTCTGGGATGCGCCTGGGGCTGGGAAACAGCACAGGCTCCAGGTCCAATGGGCGTTCACACCCCAGTGGCGGGGCCTCGGGTGAGCTGCTCCACTTCACTGAGCCTCAGTTTCTCCAATGCCCCTGCTCAACCCCCAGCCCTGTTGGGATGCCTGTTTCTGGTGTATGTGGGGAGGGAACCTCCCCAACCCTCCATTTAGGTCCTTTCCACGTCCTTCCAGGCCCTTTCAGGCCATAGCCGCTGCCCTTTCTGTGTGTTCCCAGCCTGCCTGGGAGTTGGGGGCTCTTGCTGGCTCTGAGTGAGCAGCCTTGAGGGGAGGCAGTGGGCACAAGTTCCTCCATCCTGTTCACCTCCCCAGGACCCAGAGCCCCTGAACCCCTGACCCAGCAGCTCTGCGTCTCAGGGTCTCCCATCTGCCTGAGCCCCCTCCCCACTGACCCTCTTGGCCATCCGCTCTTCCCAAGCGCAGCGCAGTCTGCTCTGGGACCCGTCGCCATCCCTTTACCCCTGGAGTGTGTCACAGGCTCCTGAGGGCCTCTCGCCACCACCAACGCCAACTCTGGACCTGTGCAGGGGTCAGATCTGAGGTCCGACGTGGGCTCCACGCTGCCAGTGTGGCCCGGGGGCCTTCAGTTCAGCCTCCCCATCGGCGGGGCAGGCTCAGTGTCCTCACCCGCCCAGTGTGGGGTATGGCAAGGCCCCCCTGGTAGGTGCCATGTTTCTTAGACATGGTGGTTCTTATGCTGGATTGGCTTCTGCCTCGATGAGGGATGTGCCTGTGTCCTGCAGAGGGCGGATGGGTGAGCCACGTGTCCCAGGAGCTTGCTACCAGGCTCAAGGAGGCACAATGCAACAGGAAACCAGCAGCGGAGTGGTAATTCAGATGGTTGCGATAGACGAGGCAACACAAACTCCTACTCCCAAGGAGCTCGCTCTGCAGCCTGGGAGACAGGTGATAACCAAACTGTAACACAACAGTTAATAAATAATAATGATACTGTGTTATGGGCCGGGGACTGTAAAGTGCTTTACATGGATTTTATCTTAATTCTCGGGAAACCTCGAGGAAGCAGACATTGTCCTCCTCAGAGAGGGGCAGCTGCTTGCTCTCAGGGTCCCGCAGCAGAGCTCAGAGGTGGCTATGGTTTTACAGCAGGTGGTTCTGTCCTATGCCGCTGGGCACAAGGCTGCGGCCTCCTGAGCGACCTCTATGTGCCAAACCGGGCACTGTCCCTGCGATAATAACGGTCTTCAGTACTGCCATCAGGGTTGCAAGTGACAGAAAACCCAGCTCCAACAAGTTTAAGTAATGAAGGGAATTCTGTTTACATAACTAAACAGGAGGTTGGGCCTGCTTCAGGCAAGGATTGATCCAGCTCTAGGCCCTGATTGGCATGGACAGATGCATTTGCCCTTTCTCCACCGCTTGGCTCCACTCCCTCAGTGTGGCACCATTCACAGCAGGCCTGCCCCTCCTGCCTGCAGGTTCCTACTAGCAGCTTCTCCTTCGAAGCTGCCAGTCAATGAGGGTCCACTTCACCCAACAGCTCAATCTACTAGTGAGTCCCAGAATTTGGCCTGCGGTTGGCCAGACTTGGGTCATGTGCCCATTCCCGAACCAATCACTGTGGCCAGGGAAATGGAAGACACTGATTGGTCTAAGCCAGGCAAGCCCTCCCATGATCAAATCACATGGCCAGGAAATTTAGGGCAGGGAGGGAGGAAGAGATGAAAGGAGGATGCCAAGGAAGCAAACTACAAATAAATATCCTCTACTCCCCTCCTACAAGAGAGATGTTATTCTCCCCATTTACTGGATGAGACCACTGAGGGTCAGAGCAGCCACAAGACAGGATGGTGCTCTCTGATGGGGGAGGAGGTGTTCCAGAGAGGAGAGCCAGCTCGCCATTTGGATGTCTCACATCAGAGATCGTGTGCGCACACACATGCTTAACAAGGTCCTTGTCATCCTCACTCTTCCGACTTTCCCTAAGCTCAGCATAGCACCTCGCTCTACTAACCAGAGAATGCAAGTGCAAACTGGGAGACTAATTTTTTTTCAATCACATCGGCAGCGGTGGGCAGTTGCTGAGTGCTGGGGAGCGTGGAGGCTCTTCATCCTTGGCTGGTGGAGGGGAGGTGGGTATGAGCTGGAAGAGCGCTCCGGGATTGCCTGAAGAGCTTGGCGCAGGCAGGAGCCTTGGTCTCCCATGACTTTCGCTTCCCGGAATTCCTCTTACATGTTGGGAGTTGGGGACCATTCAAGGATGATACGGAAAGTTGTCCACGGCTGTGTTACTTGCAGCCTGGTCGCCTGGGAACACCGTGACCTTGGTTTTTCACCCGCATTTGTCTTTGGCACACATCTCAGTCTACCAAGGGCAGCGCTTATGGCTGGTCTTGCGTGGTTGTTTGTTCTTGATCCATTTAGTCACTGCCTGTGCCCCCGCAGGCTCTCCCAGCCCCGCGGCTTTGTGTGTGGGAACACTGCCTCTGGAAGCAGATACCTGGCGAACAGCAAGCACAGGCCCCCTCTGCCTGGACCCTGCAGGCGGACAGTTCTCCTGCTCTTATTCTGTGTCGATGCAGGACACGTGGGGTCCCCCGCCCCTCTGTCTGAGATCCCCACACTTTTATGGAGGTTCCACCACTGTCTAAGTGCCTTCTTGCCCTCTCTGACGCCCTTGTGCTTCGCCAGGGCATTCCTTAGCTGGTCTGGGTGGGGACCCTTGCTTTTCTATCCTCCTGCGTCCTCCTATATCAGTGATGGCGAACCTTTTGAGCTCGGCGTGTCAGCATTTTGAAAAACCTTAACTTAACTCTGGTGCCGTGTCACATATAGATATTTTTTGATATTTGCAACCATAGTAAAACAAAGACTTGTATTTTTGATATTTATTTTATATATTTAAATGCTGTTTAACAAAGAAAAATCAACCAAAAAAATGAATTCGCATGCCACCTCTGATACACGTGTCATAGGTTCGCCATCACTGTCCTACATCTTCTGTCTTATGTCAGAAGTCATGACACACAGTTGTCTGGATGGGCTGAGGGGTGAGGGTGAGGGTGGGGGCTGGTGTGTGAAGGAGGACTCTGAGGGGAGCCTTGCTTAGAACCCCAAATAAGTGCTGATATTGGGAGAGGGAGGAGGAGGTCAAGGGCGGGGGGAAGGGGAGGAGACACCTGTAACACTTTCAACAATAAAGATAAATAAATAAAAAAGGACACGTGGAAACGAAAAATAAAAAAAGAACTGCCGATATTTAT